GCTTCTTCATCGGCATCGAATCCGTTTAGAAATGCAACACTCAGCAGCAGTCCAGCCGTCCGCTGGCAGATAGCAGCCACAGATAGAGGCGGTGGCAGCTACGAGCTGCAGCATGAGTACGAGTTACCCGCACCGCTTTTGCTTGGAGGAATCCATCAACATGTGTACATATTTCAAATCCAATTTATGTACTTGCATAGCCGAAACGCAATTACTTCGCAGTTAACGCCCAGCCGCAGCAAGAGCCTCGACCGCAGTCGAGATGCCACGAGATGCGTTGCAAATCTCCGCACGGTCGCCGTGTCCGCGTTGCAGTTGCAGTTGGAGCCGCCGCTGCTGCTGCGCTTCAGTTGCAGCCACTACTGCCGAATGGCAACTGCCGCCGGTTTGTGTTACCAACTCGTTGCCTTGTAACCGATCCTGCGCCTATAAATTGCAACCAATACACACGGCGGCCCATACCCGCGGCTGCTTGTTATACACTGCCAACGCTGCGACAGCCACAGCCATTTGCGCTAGGTCAGGCAATGTGAGCAGCCAGTAGATCAGCACTCTCTTTGATATCTTTAACTAATGGCAGACTTAAGTCTTATTCAAAATATCAATTTAATATTGCTATGATCTCTTAGGTATTCAGCGAAGTTTCTCTTCCTCAGTTTCCTACTTTACAATAAATTTAACATAATAATTAGTTTATAGAATAATATGTCTAGTGTTACCAGCTTGCTGTAAAGTGAAGTGTTTTTCAAATGTTTTCTGTAAGATTTTCATTATGCAAATGCTCAACTTTCTTCAGCTCATGCTAAGCTTAACATTCACTTTAACAAACGGGCAACTATCAAATATCAAGCAGCTATTAGGCCTCCACTATGATGCCATCGAGCTCACACACTTCCTCTAGAGCATTGACAATTCGATATCTTTAAGTCGAGGCTTCCTCTCGTGGCTGTTGCATGTTGTTTGCGTTGAATTCGCGTTCTCTCTCGCTTGAATTTGGCTTGCATGATGACCATCAGCCAAGAAGTTAACAAGTTTGCGCCGTCGCCACCAATGGGAGAAAGGCCGTCGACGTCGACGACGACGACGATGATGATGATGACGAGGCCTTCGAGGCTGTGAGGCTTTGGGTCTCTGACGACCGCTTAAAAAGAGCTGTGTAAATTTTAATGGCTGCAGTTGCATCCGCAGCAGCAGCAGCAGCAGCAGCAGCATCCACACACACATGCTCCACTCCGCGTCGAACGTCAGTCGTCAGGCTGGCAGCTTTCAACAGGTAAAGGCACGGCTCGTTGTGCTTGGTTAGGCAAGTCCGTCAGTGCGTAGGGCGCCTTCAGCTGACTGCGCTGCCACTGCCGCTGCCGCTGCATCTGCCTCAGCTGACGTCGCTGCGTAATTGTAGGCCACTGTTTTAGCTTGTTGTCGATAATTAGCGCTTGTTACCCCGCGCTTCGCTGGCCGCGTGTTGCCTGCCAGCCAGCCTGCCTGCCTGCCTGGTTATTATTTATTATGAGCTTGTTGTTTTTCATCATAGCTCATTGCCCATGCCCATGCAAAGGAAGCATGCCGTGCCCCGCTCAGCGCGTTCACCCCTTTGCGCCACAGACCAACGCATTTTCCATAATTATTTCGAGAGTTGTTTGGGGTGAAGACGCGAGCGAGCGCGCGCGCGCCTGCGCAGAGCAATAGAGAGAGGGAGAGACGGAGGTGTGCAGCAAGAGCTCAAGTGGCTGCGCGGCATAAACGCTGCTGTTTAGCCAAGACACACACCCCCCAGAAGATCGGCATTCACTTGTTGCAGTTGCTGTTGCTGTAGCTGTTGCTGTTATTGTTGTTGCTGACTTGGCACGAAGCGTAATATAATATAAATATAAACAGGGAGCAGTTAGTTTTCAATTTTTTTTTGCTGCTTTTACACTTGCTGCAAATGGTTGCATGCGGCATGGGCATGGGCATGGGCATGGGGCACAGTGCGTTCAGCTTGTGCCCCGCAGTTGTTTGAGCATTTCAGGCCGTTAAGGATGCCTGCGTCAGCGTCATGGGGAATGTGAGAATGGCTGCCTGGAAGCTTCAAGTCATGGCACAAGGGATATATTATAGTAATTACAAAATTAAGCCGAACATCTCTCCCTCTCCCTCTCCCTCTCCCTCTCTCTCTCTCTCTGTGCAGTGCTAAGCCTATCGGCAACATCGCTTGACTATGTGGCAAAATCTGATTACGAACGATAAGCAACAAGATGCAACCTCGCACCAGATTGTGAACTTGTGCATAGATTATCTATGGAATGAATCTGCTTAAGACACGCAAAACATATTCAATAAGATTCAATTAAACTGAGAATATATAATTCATTAAAGAACTTTGATTCTAAGATCTTTTTGCTGTCCAATTGAAGCTGCCTGCCCTTAATGAGCTAATAAGTTCTGGAATGCGTCTGAAATTAAAGTCTCGTCTGCTTCTTGCTCTTTGAGGTCAGCAGCAAAGCCTGAGAATCGAGAATCGCGCAGCTTCAGCTGCGCTGAGTGTGAAATGCTGCTTAACAATATCGTCGATGGCAACCGCAATTCGGTGGCTGCTTATCCTTCAAGGCTGTTAAAACAATTTACACCAGCTCGAGTCAAAGTCAGTTAGGCTAAGGCGAAGGCCAGGCGCAAAGAGAGAGGGGCAGCAATCGAATTTCGCATAACTTTGCGTTGTGGCTACGGTTGATCGTTAAGAGCATTTTGTGTTGCCCTTTTCTGTCCATCTGGCTGTCTGTCCGCGTGTCCGTCCGTCCGTCTGGCGTATGCAAGCAACGGCAGCAACTTAATCGACATCGTTTTCACATTGTCAATTGTCTGCAGCACTCTGCATGTCCATGTCCTCCACAACCTTCACCCATCAACAGCAGCCAACAGCAGCCAGCAGCCAGCAGCCAGCAGCAAACAAAAGCCAAGTCACATCATCAAAAAAGAAGAGAAGAAAAAGCTTCAACTTCAGGAACAGCCACAGCCACAGCAACAGCAACAGGCAGCAGTCTTCAACTACAGCTTTAGTTTTAGCCTTAGTCTTCTGCTGTCTGTTCGCTGGGCTCTCAACTTCCTGTCAAAGTTCAACAAACCGCCCAGTCAAAAGCACTAGCTCCTCACTCCCAGCCCTGCGCCTATCCTCTCGCGCCGTCTGCCTCTGCTCTGCTTAACCATGCGCTATAATTGCAGATTGCAGTGGAAAAAGGCGAGCAGCAGCAGCAGCAACGGACGCAGCAGCAACTGTTGCTGCTGCCTACGTTTCGTTAATATTTTTGCAAATTTTTTTAACCTCCACTTTGCAGCTCGTCGTTGCTTGTTGTTGGTGTTGTTGTTGCTCCTGGCACACCAAAAAACGTAGCCAACGATCAACAAAAATCTCAGCTCAAGTCTTGCTGGCTCTGCCTCTCGCCCTCTCCCGCTCTCACTCCCAATTGTACGCAAAGTTAGCATGCATAAACCAGTTTACATGCAGCTCCTTTTCCTGCGCCTGCTGCTCCTGCTGCTGCTGCTGCTGCTCCTCATATGGTGCTGGGTGAACGTTGTCTTCTGGGCTGCTGCTGCTGCTGCTGCCTGTGATCGATTGCTGTTTGAGCATGCAAATGTGTAAAGACGCCTCCACCGCCGAGGTTGCAAGTCGCATGTTGCAAGTCCGAAACCGGCTAACTGGCAGCGGCCAGAAACGTGTCCGATTGCAGCAGCAGCAGCAGCTTTTTGGCTCTTTTACTGCTACGTCTGCTACGACAAACAGGCGAAATATATTTGTAAGTTTGTGTTTTGAAATATGTTGCTGACGATCGCCTGGCATTGATTTCCAGAGCCAACGCCTGACACACGCCCGCACGCCACCCTCTGCCGCCCCCTAGTCGCTGAGCTTAGTGTTGCCCGGTCGTGAGATGCTTGCCGCTGATTTTTGATGAATTTATTAAGATTTTTGCTGAGGCTTTTGGCTTTTGCTTTTTGTGGCTGGTCGCGAAAAAAAGATTCCAAAAATGTTAAAGAAAAACTCTAATGAGTTTCGAGAAGCGAAAAGTCAAAGAATTTTTGACTTCAGCTCAGCCAGTGCCTATCAACGCCTCTACGCTTGAGCTATGATTAGTGTCAGTGTTTGGGTCAACCACAGTTGGGATTGATATATGGCCCGCAGTGACCGCGAGCACAGACCACACAACTACCTGGGCCAAGGATGCAGCCAAATTTCCAAGCAATTGGCCGTGTCTAACAAAGAAGGGCAGCTCGGCTAGGGCTAGCCAAGGGTCCTGCGGAGCGTTTCGAAACACGTCGCACAGCACGCCAGCTGTTGTCCTTTTGGCTTGTTTTTGGGCCCCGTTTGTTTAGCCAGCACAGCGTAGCAGCGCTAAGTAATTTCGATTCCATTCTACCTATGCCTCACTGTAACTCATTTTCTTACCTTTCGATCTGTCTACCTTTCCTTTGCGTATGTCTTGCACCACTGACAGCTGCTGCTGCTGTTGCATTGTGCTCTGCTCTGACTCAGAGTCCTTTTGGGCATTCGTTGTGCCTGGCGGGCAGTTTTGTCTTCCTCGTCTTTCCCTTTTGCCCTTTTGTTACGCAAAACATTTGTTTACACAAAACACAGACGGAAAATTGGAAAATTGTTCGCACAATTGCTGGCTTAGCGTTTTCTTCTTTATCCAATGTTTTTGTCCATTTCTGATTTATTTTGATCGATCGTTTTCCTTTTGGCTTAGCTCTGCAAGACTCTCGCTCTCTCGACATTCCCTTTTCTTCGCTTGTTTATTTATTGTCTTAATTTTGGTCGCTTTCCATTCACTGAATATGCCCCACAAATAGTTCCTGAAATTGCACATGTCCACACGGCATTTGTGTGAGCATTCGACAAGGATTTGCTGCGAGGCCTCAGAGCTGTTGGTTCTCATGACGTGCCAGGTGGGCTGACAGCCCATTTCAACTACTGTGGCCACTTGGCAGCAGTTGTCACAGATTTGACTGTCGCTCTATGTAGCTTAGTCAAGTAATTCTGATTAAGTTCACTGTCAAACAACATTCACACTTCATACATCACATACAGATGCTCAGACAGAGAAACATATGCAAATACTAAAATACAAAGCGCAGGAGACCATTAGTACTCGGCTAATACAGTTGCCAATCGATAGCCGGAATGAAGCGCATTCACGTTGGCACCTCCGCACCCAAGTACCAGAGCGGCAAATGGACCTGGGAGGAGAAGACGCAGAGCTTGCGCTTCCAGCCCTACTCGGACTTGGAGGATGCGAATGAACGCTTTATCGATACGAATGGCTTCAAGTTTTTGCGCACCATCAACCAGGAGGAGGAGCTGATCTTTCGTCAGGTCTTCGCACGACCCATTACCTCATACGATGGGGACACTGTGGTGCTCAATGACGTGCGCGACTTGGTCCTCTTTATGATGCCACATGAGTTCCTGTCGACCATGTTTGTGGAGTTCATGCACAGGCCGGCAGTGCATAGACTTCTGCATGCCCTGATCATCTACTTCGAGCACTTTCTACGCATGGTCGAGTTCCTTTTGATACGGCGCGACGAGCTGGCTGGCAACATGGCCCAGGTCCAGAGTGAGCAGACGAACGAGCTGAAGCGCATCTTCTCGTGCAATTTGAGCCACTTCCGCATGCTGGTGGCTAGAAACTACAGCCTCATTGTAATGGGCGAATCCGACATGCAGAAGTTCTACCATACCAAGCCGGTGGTCAACATTTCGTCAACGATCAAGGATCGTGGATTTCACGAGCATTTCTTGGCGGTCGCCACTCAGATCATCTGGATAACTATGCACAGACGCGCCTATTTCATCATCGAGATGGAGATGAATCGACTCTTTCGCTCCGAGCACTTCCTGATGAATCGCACGCAGTATCCGAATTTCTCGACCGTCGAGCGATCTTTGCTCTACGGGCGCAACAGCAAGATTTTCAATTGCCGCGTCCAGAACTCGCCGATGATCCAGGAGCTGCAGCACGTCGCTGACGAGGATATGCCCATTCTGTGGATAGGCGAGCGGCGGTATCGCGGCAACGATCAGCGCATAGCGAGTGTGGAAATGGAGTATCTGATACCGGAGGCGCAGTTGCATTTGGTTGATATTTCGCACGGTATTCTCGGCCATCCGAAGAATCTGTATAACACAATTCTCTCGCTGGACTGGCCGTCGGTGCGGTTTGCCAACTACTCGGAGCAGCACGATCCCTTCAATCTCTTGCGACAACCAAGCATCAAGTTGCCCAACATCAATGAGCTGCAGATGCGCAAGATGGCCAAGCAGTACGATCAGTTCTACAAGGTATTCCGGATCTACGAGACCTTCAGCCATCAAACGCTTAGCAACTGGAAGAATCGGGACAACATTATAAATTACTATTGCAGCGGCGGAATTCTGAAGAACATTTACGTGCGCTGCGAGGAACAGCTGACCACAGTCGAGGAGCGGCCCGACGTCGCCAAGATTGTGACCAACTATTTCGATGTCATCTTCAGGCTGCGCAAGAAGAAGGAATCAAACATGACTTTTGCTGGCTATAAGAAAAAGGGAACTGACTACTTCTTCAACTAACACAAAAGCAACAAATAGAGGCAGAGAGGGAGAGAGAGAGAGAGAGAGAGAGGAATGGGCAGGAAAAACAGATGATGCAATGTTAACAGTTCCTTTAGCATTTCCAATTGATGATGCAGCTTTCAGTTCAAACTATTCACATTCCGCTTCAATCACAAACTAGAAAATATGAGATCTGTTAAGACGAAGGCTTTTACATTTTGTACCGAGCGCAGCTCATTCGTTCGAATCTTCAGAAGTTCTACAATTGCCATACGAATTTAAAACTTAAAATGCCTAGAGGTAATATCAAAATCTTTCCCGACCGTATGGAATGAAGTATAAAAAATGTTTAAGAAAAGAGTTTGACTTGTTTCACTTACAGCTGTGGGAAATTGGAATAGCTTGAGCAGACCTTTGATAAATCTCTATCTAAATATATTCTGACAGCAAGAAAACCAACTTGAATCGATTCTGATTTTGCATTGCTGCTTTTAAAACGAATCGCCACAAGTTCAACTTCATCCACTCTTAAGCAACTGCTTGAATCTCTTCACAAAAATATAATATGTCCTTATAGGGACGTGATCTGGCATAAAGTGCGAGCCAGGCTAAATGCTTTTGAGGGATTGCGAGGAGTTGGCCAAGACAGCAGCGTCGTCAATGCGATTCTTCAAATCATAAAAAATAACGAGCTGAGCTCTCAATCAATCAGCAGCTGGCTAAACCAATTGTATTGACTAGAGGAAAGCCAGCCACAGCCTCGAGTTCCAATCGCATTTAAATTATTGAATGCCAAATGCATTAGGCGGCTTAACGCCCCTCGGGCCCCGTTAGTCGCCTTAAGCAAATCCATAACTGACAAATCATTTTCAAGCGAGTTAAGTAAGTCCCAACACAAGTCTCTGGCCGGTTCCCCTCGCCCTCCATCGCATCGCCATCTCTGCCTACATATATCAATTGCCTGGGCTGTTAAATAGCTTTTGGGTGTGTATGGGAATCCAATAAAGCTGTCACATGTGCCCGCCACTAAGAAGAAGCCTTTTGTATGCCTTTGCCCCGTTGTTTGGGTGTGAAAATCAAAAAAGTTACTTCGCATATGCCCCTAATACCCAACTGCCTACCACCCCCTTCCCCCACAGTGTGGCTGAGCTGTGCTCCCCTCTCGCACGACTCGCAGCTGGCCGCGCCGTTTGGGGGCAACTTTCGTGCAAATTGCCAAGTGCTTTTCGGGTTTCGAGTTTTGTGTATGCAGAACTTAACAAATTTCCATAACATTCACACCACACAATGAAAGACACACAAACCGAGATGGCAAAGCCAACCAAAGCCTGCGTCTTCGATCTCTGAGCTCGAGTCGCCGTCGCAGTTGAAGCCGCAGTCCAAGTCGAAGTCTGAGGCCCAGGTAACTGTCCAGTTGCAGACGTCGCTCTGTTTTATTTGCCACATCATTTTTTTGTTATTTTTTGGCGCATACCCTGTAATCATATGTGGGTATATATGGCTTCGCATGTGAAAGATGTGGGAAACTATCTTAGCTTCTATGTGATGCGACTCTGCAATTTGGAAAATTGATTGAACTTGTTTTTCCCTCGTTCCTTGTACTTAAGTTAGTAGGAGAAACAATTAGGCTTTAGTGTATATGGCTGAGTATGATTATAGCTGCAGTCTTTAAAGCTTTCTGAAATTCCACCCTAGTAGACCCACTTTCATACCCTGTAATTATATGAGACAACTAGCAATAGACGTGCGAAGAAAGAGTAAGGAATAGCATAAATATATTCATATATTTTCTGGAAAATGGATAGATATCAATAACATTGATTATTTCTTGCATAGCACATATTTATAATCAGGTAAGAGTTCAGATGATAAGAAGAAAATAGAAAAATTAGAAATTTAATAAGACGAAGAAGTTAGGAAATTCGTAATAGAAATAAAAGTTTAGTTTAAAAAAAAAACTTAAATATATAAATAATATAAATATAGATATGACATATATTAGGCATGCATACCTTGTGTATATTAGCAATATATCACCTGCATAGCTCACCTGTGTATATTTTTCTATAAAGGCATTTCAAACATTTCTCACGGCTAGTGTAGGGTATTTCCAAGTCGAGCTGTTTTGCATATTCATTCGTATGGAACTTTTTTTTCAATTTTTATTTTTAGGTTAGGGTATTTCCTAGTCGAGCTGTTTTGCATATGCATGCGAATTGGTATTTTGTATTTTCTTTTATTTTTGTATTATTTTTCTTCTTTTTGGCTTGCGGTTAGCCAGTGAGCCGACTGCAATGTCGTTTTGTCTGGGATTGTATAACGTTTTTGATTTTTTAAGTAGACACCTAAATGTGAATAGCGCAGCGAATCGTAGCAATGCGAACCACGTTCGCAGTCGACGTCCACGTCCACGTCCACATCCACATCCACATCCACATCCACATCCACGTCCAGCGAGCGCGAGTCGCATCTGTCAGATATATTTTTGTGGCTGCTTAGTGAAGTGTAGTTAGGATCGATGGATGCTTCACTGGGTCCAGCTTTGACTCAGAGTCTGTTGCTGTTGTTTTCACCTTGGCCAAACACGAAGCGAGGGAAATGGCGATGCAAACGGCGGCTGCCGCTGCCAATAATGCAATGGAGAGGCGTGATAATGCAGTTTAGTGAGTGCTGGCCAAAAATTTACCTACAACAGTGGGCAGGGGGCTGGAAACATGGCCAGCATCGTCTAACGGATTGGTTCGTATTCGATTGGATTGAGTGAGTGACGTGGTTGGAGTTTCTGGGCCTGGGTCCTAGGCCTGTGTGCAATATGCACAGCACTTGGCACGATATTTTTTGTTGGTTTTAAATCATTTAACTTGGGCTAGAAGAAGGCAACGGCAACGGCAACGGCAACGACGACGATGATGATGATGATGGGCTGGCGATGGCGACGGCGACGGCGACGACGACGCGAAACGGCGCAAGACACTTAAAACGTGATCGAAAATTGATGTTGGCTGCAAAAACCACCAAACAAGCAAACCACCGAAACCTCCAGCCACAGCAGCAGCGCCCGCTCCATTCTGGTCTGTGCGGGGGAAATAAGGTCACGTGCAGAAATATGTTCGTGGTGCTGATCGAGGTGGTTCTGGCCCGGCAGAGATGTTAATGATTTGCAGCTCAGCTCCAGCCTCGGACTTCGGCTGGGGCAGGCAACAATTTTGCATATTTTCTCCGGCTGGCAGATAGTAGGTAATATGCTTGTTAATGTGCCCAGCTTTGCCTTGATCTCGCGCTGTCTGTGTGTGTGGTGTGTGTGTGTGTGTGGAGTTCAAAAACCAGGAAGTGACTCAACAACAACTGCATACAACGAAGGTGAAAAATATGACTTGGTTATTTATTGTTGAAGTGTTGCAGTGCAAAAAAGCAAAGCCCAGACCCAAACCCAGGCCTGAAACCGAACCAAACTTCAGCTCGAACCCAGAGCAAACGCAAAGCGAGCGGCTGGGCCTAAACTTCGTTTGGGGTATTTAGCCAAGTGATTTATTTAGCCTGGCACGCCAGGCGGTTAACCGCTTGACAAGCTGAGCGGCAGCGGCGTGCGGCACTCGCAGTGGAGCAGCTGCGCCTGCAAACACACACACTCGCCACATACCTTACCACACATACGACTACAATAAGCCATAATTATCCAAACGCTGATCCGACTGGCTGCGACTTGCCATGGAACTTGCCATAACTCAGCAATTTCCATAAAATTTATAGAATCTATAGAATAACCATTATCAGCTTCGCTTCGATATACTAATTGCAGCTTAGACTTGACTTGCGCTCAGATAAATATCCATTGTAATGCACTTTGCCATTATTTAATTAGACTATATATAGTTGCAATTACTGAAATCTCGACTCTCGACTGACCATTCACACAAATTAAACATTGTCTGCTCCTAGTTCGGTCTCTGTCTGTCTGTGATGCCTGCTTCCGCTTGTGTTAGATTCACTGTCTCGCAGAGCTTGGACCCTGCTCAATCAGAGCGCTGCATCTAAGGTGCTTGGAAACGTCGCATCGATATCGTCAGCGTCAATGCGCTACTCCTGCTCCAAATGCGGCCGGGGCGCTGTCCAAATCGATAAAATGCACCGCGATCAGCGCGGCACACATCAAATTAGTTATTAATTGAAGTGGAAAGTTCTCAGAATGTGTAGCACGGCGGGCGGTCAACGCGCATGCGTACCAGCTACGAGTGCCAGTCGCAGTCCCAGTTCGGAATGGGAAACGGAGCTGGAGCTGGAGCTGGACCTGGGCTTTAGCTGACCGACGCGACTTGCCTTGTTAGCCACTTTGTTAACCTGTTTTGGCGGCGCGCATTTGAATTTTCATTTATTATAAGCGAGGCGCATTTCTAATTTGAGTCATGTGACCAAAAACAGTTTTGTCCTAGTTGTCGCGTCCTGCCAGCCGCAACTGTGTGTCTCCCAAACAATTGGTGAATGGCTTTACCCATAAATCTTTTATATTTGCCCCCCCTTCCCCACTCCTTCTCTCTCCTCTGTCTTTCTCTCTGCTTTTCGATTTGTTGCTGTTGCATGTACACACATTTGTGCCATTGCTTTGACAACAAATTCATGAGAAAGTACAGCGGCTGCCGCTGCAGTAGCTGCCACAAGACAGACAACAGACTGAGCTGAGGCTAGCCGAGTAGGTGCAGAGCTCGGGGGGAGGCTTTGGGTACCTGCATCATCTGTTTGTTTGCCTGTCATTAGAAAAAAAAGCGTTGAATGTCGAGAGTTTTGAGTTGTGTGTCGAGCGTCGAGAGTCGAGAGTCGAGAGTTGAGAGTCGAGAGTCGACACTAGACCGAAAGTCTGCGCTCACTTGTGCTTCTTTAGATTGGACTCGAAACTCAACTGAAGTGCACTTGTACGCCAAAACAAGCCACGTCACTTGGCCACTACACACACACACGCGCACGCACACTACAGTCCACACTCAATATATAGACTCTCCCATACCATTTTCCAAACACTCAACACACACATCGCCCATCAACATCATCAGCGAATGGCCAGCAGATCACAATTGTGGGCCGCTGCCAGCGCCAATCGCCAAGAAGCTACAACAGCAACAATAAGAGTAACAACAACAGCTTTTGGCCAAGTCTTCGGCCATGGCTTTCACTTGACATCTCGTTAAGTGTCTTGTAAATGGCATTGTTTTCGTTTTTCATTCAAAAATGTGCGTCAATGGAGCAGAACCCCTGCCCCAGTCCCTGCCCCTGCCCCAGTCCCTGCCCCCGCCCCAGCTCCAACTTCAATCAATAACAAAGTGCAAGGCCCTAGACCGACA